TTACACCCCTGTAGATAAACTGAAGGAAGCTGGATGATACAAAGATTATGGCTTTTGGGGTTATAGGAGTAGAGCATAAGCTATTTAAATATAAACAAATTTTGTTCTGAATGAGCGGCTCTCCATTTTTTTCATCCTTGCATACAAAGTTACTTTCTGCAGTTGACAATGGGAGCCATTTTGCTTAATTTACTCACAACTAGAGATATTATATGGGTTATCATTGTTAAGTCAACTACTCAACAGAAGAAGTAGAAGCATCTTCCACCTATTCGTTCATTTTAGTTTTTGAATATGCAAAAACAAGATTGGCAAAATTGGATACCTGAACTTCGATTGAAGAAGCAACCAATTGCTTGATTGCTGTTGTTCTTGAAACCGCAGACACCGCCTATTGCCTCACAACCTCCGCAATCAGGCGTATACCACGTCAATTGAATGTCTTGATCAAGGGCGGTGGAGAATTCTTCATTGTACGCGAACCAGAATGAAACTGGAACTGGCAATGTAACGATTATGTGGCATGATGGAGGCATTGATTTTACAAGATTCATGGAAGAAGTAGCCAAAACCGAGTTGGTAGAATTACTTAGACAACCAATGGTGCTGAAGCGGGATATCACGGCTTGAGTTGGGCAGCTTAGGAAGGTGTAGTTTTGGTAATAAGAAGCAGAAAAAGGAGAGCCAGAGAGATTGAAGCTAAGCAGCCGCTTCGGGAGGCATTTTCCAGGGTCGTATAGATTAATTTCTTGTGTGAAATAATTGATGTTTCGTACAAGAAACTCTCCAGAGTAGGGAAGATTCAGGACAGTCGTGCCCTGACTGTTGCATCCAAGTTCGAATCCAGGGTATCCGCAGTTTTCAAGCTGATTGCCTTGTAAACTGAACGGGAATCGAACTGGAATGCTTCTGTTGCCACAGAAGGAAATTGGACAATTTTGTGCTGCGCATAGAGGAGGGAAGAGGAAGAAAAAAAAGAGGACGATACCCATGATGTTAGTCTGTCTCAAGACTCCATAGAAAGTATTTAATGCCAAAAAAGTCAAACACTACCGTAGGAACTTTCTTATCCATGCACGAAATTCAGCTATTTCTACAAATGCAATAACCTATGAAACCTTTTCCTTTCTGTTTCGGCATTGCTTATCCATACACAAGAGAAATATTCAATCTACAGTATTCTAGCATATTAATAATTGTCTTCATTACAATGTATCATTCATCAATCAAATGTTTCTGATAACTACTTACATTAGAGGTAGATAGTTCCGTAATCTGCACGTTGTGTAATTTCTATATTGGATGTAAATCTGATAGAATAAAGTTTTTCTATGGTATTTCAATTTTAATTTCTATGGTTGATGGTGGTCAGGAAGTAAAAGTGAAATCAATTTGACGGGTAATTGGTGATAAACAGAGAGTTGCAGAGAGGAATACTGGATTTGGGTGGTATTACAGGAGCTGCTGAGAGATCCTTATTGAAACGACTTCTCCTTGTGTTCCAGCCTTCATTATATGGTACTTTACAAGAAGTCCTGCTTCCGGGGAAAAAAGAGCAAGTTAATAAAGGTCATGATCAAAATGTAAATTGACTTCCAGTCAAAATTACTCTTGATCAAGAAAGGAACAACCAATTTGACAAGACAACAATCTGCATTATAAACTGCTAAGATTTTTGAAACTTTTAATGTAATTGAGATTTGCGTATAGTTGATGTGTTACCTTCATTTTCTTGTAAATTGGTGTTCACTGCAACAGCATGGAGAGCAATTATGGCCTTTGGTTGATAGTCATTTGGTTTCCCTATCCATGACTTAGAATCAAAGACCCCTGCCAATTCACTTTCAGAAACTGAATCAGATAATGTTGCAGCTTTAATAACAGTAGAAATAATTTGCTATAGGAAAATAACCCGGTAAGTTAAACACCAGCAAATGTGAAGAGGATCACCAAGATAACCAAATCAAATACAGTGCAGCTATGATGGGCTTAACTTTCATTTCAAAAGAATGTAGTCATCCATATTTCTTTTCACTATTCTAGTCAACCATCTATACATTGCAGCAATTCCAACAAAAAAAAGATTTGGGGGATAAAATGTGAATTTTACCATGATCTCAATCTTTTATACATTATTCTCCTTGGGATTCTTTCTTATATAGCATGCCAAACTAATGGACCATCTCTGCAGTAAAGCTTAAATAGCATTTCTTTGTTTAAAACATTTCAAAGGCCTCATGGCAGCATACTCTGATCCATAACATTTTTCACAGGATTTAATAAGTACCTGTAGTTTCTCATCAAAAGCAAACCAAAGGTTCACTTGTTCAAATTAGCAAAATATCTAACCTCTTGATCATTTTGTTGTCTTGTTCAAAGAATAGATTCAGCATTCAAAAAATCATTTTCATCTGAATACTTAAATTTATGGAATGCATGGTCCTAGTTGATGTAATGCATTCTCGAAGGTCTCATTCAATTGAATACATGCATTCTTGTGAGAATAAAAAAGAAATATTTGAATAAAGTATGTGGTCTTACCACTTGTTGTCTTGCTCCTGAGGTATTTCATGTCAGCAATTGCTCCAGAAGCTCCTTCAGCATGCTTTTTGATTTCATGAGATCCAAGAAGCTCATACTCCCAACTCCCGTTCTGATACCCCTCACAAAGGAACAGCTCTATGTGCCTTGCATCTAATGTCTGCATTGTTCCTGCATAGACAATCATTCTTACTTAATGTTTTGCTGCTAATACCAACAAATAGTTATTTTGTGTGGCAGAACTAAGGGAAAATAGCATGCTCCATAATTTGTTTTGACTTTCCTCTAAACAGGTTTGGCTCAAACAAGAAACAATTTACTAAAATCATTATAAGGAAACAATGGTAGGATCCATTGGTTTTGATTTTCTGAATTTTACTGCCTCACGCAGATAACTGCAGGATACTGTGCCTGCCTGCCTGGCAATGAATAACTCTACATCTTCTTGAATGTCAAGCAAGATCAAAATTAGACAGCAGAGAATAAATTTGTAGAAAATAAGCAATAAAATTGCATGAAACTAAGAACTATTATAGACTAAGCCTCTATAAAGTAGCTTCAATGGTCCATGATTAGTCCATGGCAACAACTCTTATATTTTGTACTTCTCAATGTGTTTCAAGGCATTTTATTGCTTACCTTCGCATTTATCTTGGTCACAAACAGGACATCGGACAAGCTGTAGATCTGAAAATATCAACCGTATTGAAACACTGGCTTAAATGAAGTTTATACCATGACGCACTCTTATCCTTGCTGTTACAAAATACAAACACATCAAAGAATAAAGTACTAGGATTGCAACATATTAATTTTACAATACCAGCTAGCCAGATTCCAGATTTGATGTTCTTCAGCAGGCATGACCCACAGGATTGCAACATATCATCTATAGTTTCTCCTCCTTTAGGGAACCTTAGAGGAGCACTCAGTCTCTCACTCAGAAATGCTACTTGTGAGTCAAATGCAAATGCACCGATTCTTATCCAGTCTGATTACTCCCCATGAATAAACAAAATTCAGTTAATGCTGTCATTCTAGTAGTGCAATTTTTTTAAGGCAGTACCATCTGTTATGTCAAATATTTAGCAGAAACAAGATACTGTGTATAGATAAAATAAGTGAAAATATATAATTTTTGGCTGAATGTATCCTGCTCTAAATTTACATGCTGATTGAGAATATTCTTCCCTGGAATAAAATTACACTAATAGAATGCAGCTCAGACTGATATTAAAATTATGCATATTATACAGTGAAGAGTAGACAACATCATATGGCCAGGTCTTAATGTCATAGTTATGTAATTTCAGAAACTGCCCATTAACAACCTTCATTTGTACCAACACCTGCAATTTTTATGGTTTAAAACCTGAAGCCTACATGTAATCAGTAGGCTGAAACAGTTGATAAATGATACTTGATGAAGAGAACTCACCAATATGCTTCTCCTGTTGATGGAAGTTGTAAGAATGACTCCCATCTGCAAAACCACGAAAATCAGTCAATAAAAGTACAATTTAATACCATCTCAATTCTCATCTTAACCTAACGCATTGCAGATAAGTGAAACATCTAAGAATAAAGAATTCTAATGATTACCAAAAGCGGTAGCGTATAGCTTGATCCAACTGAATGACATTTGTTGTGGACAGGAGACCTGAAGATCACGCAAGCAAGCATACTTCCACACGCTTTCCTGCATGATAACTTTGTTGAACCATTTACTGGTCGCTGCCAGCATTACCAGAGATTTTCCGTCCAAAAACTTTGCTATATATGTCCACAGGTCCAACTCAAACCTATTTTATCATAAAAAATAGAGATCCATCAAAAACTTTTTACCATCTAAAATGGGAATTGTACTCTGTTTTTTTTCTTCTTCTTCTTCTTTTTTTCTCATCTCAATCTCTATTCGAGATCCTTAAGGTGCTGAGAAAATGCAGGAAAATTACAGAAAAATTCTATGCGGATCAAACTTCAGCAATATTTGAATCAAACAAAGTGAAATCAAAACTTTCAAAATTCAAATTCACTAAGCAACAACATTCAACATTTTTTGAAATTTCAAGCTATAACACATTCTAAGCTGGGGAACGGATCTTTGATTACTAAACATACTTCATTTAAGACGTAGATTTCATATAAGAAGACAGCATCCATTTCGATCTCAAATTTCTCGAACTAATGATTTTAATTTTGAATTGGTTACTGAGATCGGACTTCGGAGAGTAGAGACTATTATTTCAGATTATTATTGAAAAGCAACAAAAATGTAAAATCGAGATCCAAACAGGACAGTGTACAGTAAACAAAAAAATTTTCTGGAAAAATCTTATCGCTACTTGGCTTACTGTCAATATTTTCGCAGAACGTGAAGAACTATTGCATGTGAAAGAGCTTCATCAAGTTTTTCTCACTGAAATATTCAGATCCTTCGGTTTCTAATTCGATTTCGACTTCAAATTTCACAAGTAACTTACGAAAACATAGCTAAGCTCAAAATTCAGCTGAAATCAGATCAAAATCGCTCATTCAACAGCTAATCTGGAAAACCGAGAAGAAACTGCAAATTGAAATCTAGATCGAAATCATCATCGCATTTAAGGCTTTAACAGTGAAGTAAATAGATAGAAGATATGAATACAGAGAAGAGTAAGCACGCAAATGAGAGAAGTTCAAGCGAAAGCTGAATTCGAGAGAGAGGTACCAACAGAACTTGGAGCAAGCAGTAGGAGATCTGCAGCTGCAAATCCCCTTCGATCTCTTCAATCGATTCCTCATCTTCTGTATGTGCCGTTGAGTTTCTAAGTCTCTCTGTATGTGAAAAATTTCGTGTTTGATTTGAAACTCTCTGAACCTTGCGGAATATATATATATACGCGCGCGAAGTTCTCAGATTTGAAAAATAAATAAATTTTGTAACTCCGAAAGGTGATCCTTTATTGGTTTCGGTCTCGGTCTCGGTCTCGGCCCAATTAACGTTACTTGGACATTGGGCTTTAACAATTAACGTAGTCAGATACTCTTAATCTTCTTACTTTTGAAAATTTTCCTTTTTTTTTCTTATAGATTTTAAAATTAATTTTAAGATAATAATAATAATAATAATAAAGAAAAATTAAAATTAAAATATTTTAAATGCCAAAACCTTAATGAATATGTTTTGTATATTGATTCATTAAAAATATTTTATTCTTTTCATTATCATTTTTAACATTTTAATTACCAAAACATTTTGATTTTATTCAATTCTATTACAAACTAACATAAAATATTTAAACTGGAAAAACCAGCATAATAGCTGGTTATTTTATATTTATTGTAATTCAAAAATTACAAAAAAAAAAAAAAAAGTTGTTTATGATATGAAAAAGAATTACAGGCTCATTTGGCAACAAAAAAATGGTTTGATTTTTTCATCTGCGAGTAGCAGAAACATAAACTTAATTCATGAATTTTCGACAGATGGGAGCTTTACAAAGACAGGGCACTTTCAGTTCATCACACTCATCGGGATCAAACAAGTAATCATACCTGCAAATAAATTGGTACAAATAAGTAGGGAAGAGATCAAGACGTGATTAAATAGGCAGACGAGAAGATGGGAAGGAAGAGGAGTATCTTACGTTAGTTCATCCCCAGCACACACATTGGTCTTAGCAATAAGAACTATCCGACTCTCCTCATCGCCAACACTCATAATCCTTGCATAGCAGTTGGGCATGCACTAAACACGGGACATGTTAAATTTCAGTCACATAGTAAGTCCATACAGTTGCATTAATTAAGTTTAATTAACAGTGCATAAATGTGAATGAATAATAACAGAGTCGACTATTCTCTTCCCACTTCTCTTTTGGGAAGGTGTAAGCACTACTAAGTCTACTTCGTCGTCAAATTGCAAACAAGGCCAATGATAACCATACTAAATAAAGATTGACCTAAAGCTCATTGAAGCCAGCAAGAAAGGTGAACTTTGTTTAAAATCAAGGGCAGTAATAACCATACTAATATAGTCATACCGAATGGTTGATTAGGCGTGCGATATTCCCCTTATTTGTGGCATCGATCACTACTTCCTCACTTATCTTGAACAGCTGAATTATATATCATATACTAAACAATCATTAGGAATCAAGATGAAAGCAGAAATCAGGGTGTAGCAACCATAAAAGAAGGGACTCACGTAGCAATCTTTGCCTTCTGAACCATACTGTACCTCCCTCAAATCTGCAACACTTCTTCTAACCTGCTCGCCGCGATACTCAATAACCTGGAGACAGACATTCCTAGTATCAAAATCACATGAATAAAGGAAATCCTAGTCTTTATGGAAGTCAGGCTGTGCTTAAATAATAAATACTCTCAATGAATGGTGTAAAGGAAGTACCATTTCTCCTTCTTGAATGTTTCTACGTGCAAAGAGTCCCCATCCATGTATACCAGATTTACCAAAACAAACTCGATGGTTCTCAGTTCTCTAATAGACACAAAGTTTTTTATTAAATTTAGACTATAACAAGAAGGAAACACCTGCTGTACATCAAGGACGAAGGTTTACCTGTAAATGATACAAACGTTCTTTGAATGATGAGAAAATGGTAGAATCTTCGACTTCCTGTTATGAGACAGGAAAAATGAGGATTAACGATCTAGCGCTTTACCATCTAAAATGGCCAAAGAGTAAGGGTTTCTGACCCCAAAAGAAAGAGTTTTGCATTTGAGACAATCTGCTATAACAAAGATAAGAACAGTACTTTATATGTGCTCAATCTGCTTAGTGCATTTAGAGGATGATGACTTGGCCCACTCAGTCTGTGGAACATTGGTTCCACCACTGCAATCTGCAAACAAAGATAACATTACAAGTGAGATAAAGACACTCCATTGATAAAAATTAATAGCACAAGATTAATGGACTCGGTTTTCATGAATACAGAAATCAGTTCTCAGGCAATACATTAAACTAGAAAAAGAAGTAGCATTTATTAACAGAGAAGCAAGAACATTAACAGCCAAAGACACAATTACAAGAAATCGTACCTTAGAGCGCAATCTTTTATATACACGACATCTTGCAGCAGAAAGTGCATCAACCACATCAGTCTCTGAACCTGAGGACTCAAGCAGCTCTAGTCTCGTATTTGAAACCAACCTTGAACCTCTAAAACAACCATTTTGTTTTTGAAGCAAGTTTGTGGTAGCAAAAACCCCTGAAGGAGTATGCACGACTACAACTGAGTCTGGATTTGGTCTCCTGAATCAACACAAAATGTACAAGGATAAAACCAAAAGGCAAAAATGATACATTGAAGACCATTACCATACTGTTACATGTCTTGAGTGAAGAGAAATAGATGCAAGAAAAACCATTTAAACAAATGGGGGACATATATCTGACCTGTGAACAGCACAGTAAACTAACTTTTTTGTTATTTGTGTCCCATTCTTCTCCAAGCAATGTAACTGTAAAATTCAATTTGAGACACTTAAAAAGAATGGCTAAAGCATAAAAATGTATATCTTAAGTGAAAATTTCATTCATACAAACTCCAGACACCAGTGTCAGTCAAAAAATAAAATTTAATTTACCAGCTTTTTTGAGTCCAAGGGTTTGGCCATAAGGAGTAAAAAATGAAATTATGAAATTACTTACTTCCATGCTATATCCCGCCCTTGATGCACACATTATGTGAAAATAAGTTGCACATTTGCAACACTGAGTGCAGGAACCATGAGTCTGATTGCAGATCACACATCTCTGCAATCAATGCATTACAGCACATTTAGACTGCAAAAGAACAAAAGTTGTAATAATAACTTTTGAATCATAAGGTACCTTCAAAAATGAACTTGATGGAATTCTAAGGATTCCAGTGGCAGGCTCCATCTTCTCATGATTCAAGAAACTAACTTCAGGCCGAAACCAAGCACATGTGACATGGACCCATAGTGAGTCAACATCACTTGGCTTAAGAGCACCCCCTAGATAAGTGGTAAATCAAGTTTAATGGGAAAACACCATTGATAGAAACAGGCAACTCCATACAATAAACAACACTACTAGATCCCAATTTGCAATGCTGTATAGAAAATGAAAGAAAGAAAAGCACCACCTAAAAGATGAGAATCTATTGAAGCACCATTCATGTGATATTGCAATGGAGTTTGGATGATATTAAATATTTTGTTTAGCAGATCTTTTACAACTACTATTTTCATTGAAATGTTGCATTAGTTATTCTTGTAGAGATATCCATTATCTAATTATACTAAATACCAACAGCAAATGAAATCAGACAGTAGACTTTGGTTCTAGATAACATGCCTTTTACAGGACAAAGGCAGCACTGCCTCTCAAAATCAGGTGTTTCACAAGCTCTACAAACCCAAGAGGTCATTTCCTGCACATCACTTGCTCCATAGCATTCTTGATGGACAGCTATTTGACACCTGAGCAGAGAAAACCTCTTCAAATAAATTTGGCGAAAGCAAAACAATTTCCAGTCTTGCAACCACAAAAATATGGATTAACCACCCAAAATAAACTAAGGCAAAATAAACAGCCAAGCTAATGGTCATTAAAGCACCTGTTACAGATAATAATTTTGTTATAGTCCCAGTCCTCAACCCATCTACAAACAGCACACCTTTCGGTTGTCCATTTTGCATAAACAGGCTCATATTTTTCTGTTAAAATAGAATGAATAGTTGAACAAGTTTCCTGCAGTTGAAAACTGGTACACTTCCTCCAACTGTCAAACAAGGAAACCCCAAGAAATAAACATGTTTTTACCTTGCAAAAATCCAATTAGCTTCTGCTCATCTAACTTTTGAATATCAACACCATGTGTATCATATGCCAAAATCTGCAGAATTTTCAATATTAATTCGAAACTGCACATGGACTGTACACATGCAACGATCAAATTTAATTTAACAAAAGGAAAAACTGGTTGGGAGCAAGGGTGGGATGAGTTTTAAACAACCATCAAGAGTTCAAAATAATCTATTCTAGTAGTAGCTTCACATCAATTCTGGTGCCAATAGCCATGCATAAAAGAGTTAGCCTTCAACAACATGACAAGCAAGGCTTATAAGTTATAAGCTCAATCATGAGCAAGGACAACAGAATCAGAACAACCAAAGCCAAGATACAAGGACAATTGTTATTTAACAAGAAATGGAGGGACGATAATAAGGAGACCTAAGAAGAGCGTAAATGAAGAGAACAAACCCAATCACCAAGTGGTAGCCTGGTCTCCTTGACTCTCACACTGTACTTCCATTTTTTAGCTCTACATCCAGTGTGCCTTTCCCATTCACCAAGTGACTGCTGCTTTGATCCACATGAACCACACTTGCATACAACTCTAAACATGAGGGGAACTTGTAGTTAAGATAGAAGAATGATAGATATTAAAAACCTACTAAGAAACAATTAAGGTGTTGAGGGCTCACAGATGAATTTTTGGAAGATATATTCCCTCCATGCCATTGCAGATTACTGTAAGCTTGTCAGGGATTGCATTTTTCCCATTTTTTTCTTTGGACCTGTTTTCCAAATATTAGAGGAATAAAATACAGATTAGCATAAAAAATAAACCCAACAGCCTTAATCTCAATTATTTACATCAATCATTTTTTCATACAAGCATATCAAATCAAGTATTTACCAATCCACAAAAGAACTTAAGAAAGAATGCAGGCAAGCTAACATACTTGATTTCTAGCTCTTTTTTTGCTAAATTAGATGGTGCAGACTTGGAGTTTGCTTTGCAGTCTGGGCAGTAATAATCGATGCTTTCCAGATTCTTCAAGCAGTAACCAAGTCAGTACGCCTAGATGATTTAATCAGTAATGATAACATAACAAAAATGGCAAGTTAGATGTAGTAAGCAAACCTTGAAAAGTTTGGTGGAAATGTTGTCACATTCAGCATGCACCCACACATTACAACCATCACAACAGACCTAATCCACATATTGAAACTGAACAATGTCAGACAAATGCAACCATATTATGAATTCCAAAACACAGATGGTCTTACCCAATTGCCACCATCTGAATGGTGCCAAATCTTCCTGCATATGCCACAATATTGCTTTGATTTTCGCAACTGCAAATACAGCCACAATTTAAGAAAGGAAAACTATAATAACATTTAAAAAAAAAAATTAAATGCATATACATCCTAAAAATAAGGCACACTGAATAACCTTAGCACAATGTCTGCATAGAAGCTCAGTGTAAGACTTCAAGCCCTTCATCTTCTTCATAGTTTTGAAGAGAACAACAGAACCACAGCTATCACAAGGTCTTGTCTCCTGGGAACATGCATCCTATAAAATTAATCAGTATGATAATTATAGCAACTGAGCAGCTTGATAGAAAGAAACCAACCTTTTTGTTGAGACAAAAGAAACACCATTCATAAAAATACTTCAGCGTTTAACCTAAGGAAACTCTAAAACTGAAATTAGTTGCAACCATGACACTAAACAATAAAAAGAGTGTGTGGAGGAAAACTAATTGCTACCACACCACTTTTTTCAATACAAATAAATTTGCTTCACAATAAACTTCTAAAACTGTAGAAACTAGGCACCTCCCCAGCACAACCACACTCCCTCTGATTAAAGGATGTCAACAGCACTCAGAAATTAATTAGCATTACTTAGCAATTAACAAGGTGAGTGGCAGAAGAGTATTGAAGCCTAAGCAAGTAGCAACACAGAAGCAGGGTATCACAAATATAGAAGAAACTATAGGACATGAATTCTAAATCACTTGCCTGATTTTGCAAATAATGCTCAGTATCTGGACTCGAACTGCTGGGGCAGGCATCTAGGTATGCTGTTTGTTGGGTGTTATGGCCTACATCCAGGTAACCGTTTTCTGCTAAAATTGCCTCCTCCACAGCCAATTGAAAATCAGTCTGTTTCCACTTATACAACTGGGTCTGCTTCTGATATCTAAATAAAAAAATTACAGAAATCGTTTCCATCACAAGGATTATGAAAGTATATGTCAAGACGGGTTATACACACCTGTCCATGAATTCTGCAAATGGAAATATCATTCCCTGTTTCACCCATGCATAGTCCTGCCCATTACAATTTCACACACCGTTTATAATAACATATACGTTATACATATACTAGAAAAGATAAAGTTCGACAAAGAGAATGTGAGGCAGAAAGATCACATTACCCTTTGTGTTCCGTTTTTTGAGTACCCAAAAAACATGACACAAATAGCACCGGCAACACAACGGCTCAGGACTGATTCAGGTGCTTGCAATAGAGGATCTATCACTATGGCTGGCCAAGTTGGATACTTCTTCCCACACTTAGCCCAGACGATATCACCCAAAGCAAAATCCTCCGGCCTATACACATCCTTACTCTTCCCAGCTCCGCCTTCTCTGAGCTTCCCCAAACCTGCGTATTTATTCCTGGGTATACATTTCTCAGTTACAACCAATGGCGAAGAAACCATATCATCATGCATCAAAGCCTTGAAACTACGTGAACTAAAATACCTTCTGTAATCGAAACTACTAACATCTGCGAGACCGGCATCGTCTTCCTTCTCCCTTTTACAAACAGGGTCGAACTCGGAGCTCCCACGTTCAAACTTCCTCTCCAGATATACTATTTCATCAAATTTACGAGAACTCACTCTCTCTTCCATGAATTCATCATCATCAAAGCCTGAATCTGGATCCTCAACTGCAAATTTCTTATTCCTCCATTCATCAAGAACCGCGTCATTGAACCTTGAAGGAAGCATCCGCGTCCTTCCTCGTGATGATTTCAATAGCGGAGGCTTATGCCTCTTCGACCCTTTACTAGATTGAGATTCACTCTTTTGTTTCAAATTCGAATTCAATTCAGCTGCCCAATGCCCTCTTTTGTTACTCCAATAATCTGAGCCGCTACTCAAATCTTCAACCCCACCATGTGAACAACGATACTCGTTCGTTTTCCGTCTCTTAGGCTTCAACTTATAAGCGCAGTCTTCATCTTCATCATCACAACCAGACTCTTCCATCTTGCAGCGTTTCAGGTTCGGCATTTCGAATTTCATCGTCCGCTTGATAATCATCTTCTCCCCCCGCAGCTTGGAACCCCGAAACCCTAATTTTACATGGAAACGCCGAGACAAACGACTCCCGGATTCAAACACCAGTTCCCCCAATTTTTGAAACCGCCACCGGAGCAATCCAAAACTCCTCCGCAGAAAAATCCAATTAAAACCCTAATTTTCTTGATGCGAAACCTTAAAGACTGACAAAAATTTTCTTTGGTTTCTCCTGCAATTCAAGAAAATCAGGAAATAAAACTCAGAAAAGGAAATCTGAGAAGTATCCAAGCTCTGGATTTAATTACTTATTTATTTTTTAAAAACGGAGTAAAATTTTCAAAAAAGTGTAATTAATAAGCGAACGGATACGTCCAAAACCAACAACAAAATAAAACTTAAGAAGGAAGGGGTCATAAAATTATGAAATTAATTAATGTATTTTTGTAATGGTTTTTTTTTTTTTTTGGTAATAATTACTGTAAAGAAAATGAAAAAAAAAATAAAATAAAATAAAAACGGGGGCTGAATCGCGGGAATGCGGAGTGTTTTTGGCTCCAAAATTTTGGAAGGTGGAAAATTTTGGCAGAAAAGAGAAGCGCGAACTGAAAATTGAGAGAGTTGGGGCTCACAACTCAAAAAAAATGCTTTCTAGGAAATAGGAATGGTACAAGGTTGGACTTTTCTGAAACCAGGAAGAGGGAGTAGCACTACCACGTCGGAATTTTACTGTAGTCGGAATCCTGCAACAGGGATGAATCTGATCAACGAACTGACAATCTGGACTCAAAATCAGCTACTTTGTGCTGCTGACGCTGGGCAAAAGTTTATTTAGCCCCTCATCTTGTTAATTTTGAAGGTTTTAATTTTTTATTTTATATTATGATATTTTTACCTCTTCATCTTATTAGATTTGTAGGTATTAATCTATCATCTTGTATTATAATACTTTTAATCCCTCATTTGTTAAAATTAAAAAAAATAATCCTCACTTTATAACACTTTATTATTTTTGTTAGATGACTGTTAGTTGACAGTTAACAGAATTAACAAAACTAATTTTATAATATTTTATTAATTTTGTTAATTGGTTATTAATTGAATGTTAGTTGATAGAAATTTACTTTCAATTAACAGAGTTAACATTCAGTATAAAATGAAGATTATTTTATTTAATTTTAATAGGTGAATGGCTAAAACTTATAAATTTAATAAGATAAAAGATTAAAAATATTATAATATAAGTTAAGAGATTAAAACTTTCAAATTTGATAAGGTGAGTGACTAAACATAGGTTTTTGCCGCTGACACTGAGTCTACCAGGTCCAGGTGGCCATCGGACTGGAACGGCCCAGATCAGAACCCACTTGAAACCAATTTTGTACTGGCGTATTTGGAGCATGCGGGTTGGCCCCCTTAAGGTTCAATCTTACATGACACAAAAGTCTGAAATTCAACCGTTAAAATTTTGAAATTTTAAATTAAAAATTTTAATAATTTATAATTAAATGTATCCAAAAAGAAGATGAGCATTGAATATATCATTATTTATAAGAATTTTATTTTTTTAGATAATTATTATATTTAAATTAAAAAAATAAGTAAGTAATGGTATAAAAATAATATATTTATAAATATTAAATTAAATAATAAATTTAAAATTTTAAAATTATTTATCTGACATGTTTAAGGTTAAATGCTAAATTTGGTCCCTTAATTTTAAGAAATGCACATTTTTTATCCTTCAACAATTTTTTGCACTTTTTTGATCCCTCAACTCTAAGAAATGCACACCATTAGTCCTTCTGTTAATTTGGACCGTTAACTCCGCCCACGTAGCATTTTTTATATTTGTTTTGATGATGTGGAGGACAAAATTTTAAAAAGTGATAATATGGATAAAATATTTTGCCACATAATGTTACTGTCACCGAAAAGCGACAAATCTACTCAAATGGGCCCACATCACCAATCTCTTGGTGACTTGTACTCCAAGGTTTCATTCATCTTCCCGTTCGTTGCCTCTTACCCATTGTAGAAGAATCTCGCTCCAATAAGCTTCTTATTACATGAACTCAATCCAAAATCCTTTGTCGTCACGCACTGCCCTTTTTATTTCGCAGGAATCGAACCCAAATCCTGATCATTAAAACTCTGCCACTCGAGCCATATCCCGGTATCAAAAAGCTCAATCACAAGATCGGACCCAAAATCACATTCCTTGAGTAACTTAGCATTGTCAGTGGTCTTGAGACCCAAAAACTCAGGCAATCTCGTTGTCTGCAGCCTCCTAACCTGCTCCGGAATGACAGCAACCACATGGGGAAGCGTTTGGAGCTTCAACGCCTCTAAGGAAGACAACTTGGTGGAGAAGCCATGAAAAACAATGTCATGAGTATGGATTATGTTGGGTGCCTCGGTGGTGGAAAGTATCGAAGCAAGAGAAGACTCATACCAGTGCTTATGGGTAGCAAAAATTGAGGGTTTGGCATCCTACTAAACCATGACAATGAAGGTTTTTTCATTAGCCTGTGAAGTAGAAGAATCGAACCCGAGCTGGGTTCGGTGGAACCCAGTTGTTGGGTTCGAGGAACCTAGTAGATCTGGGTTCCATGGAACCTAGTTTGCTGGGTTCGGTGGAAGAAGAGGAAGAACCCAACAACTGAGTTTCGTCGAACCCAGTTTGTTGGGTTCGGTGGAAAAAGAGGAAGAAGAGAAAGAAAGAAAAAGAAAAAAGAAAAGAAGAAGATGGATCGAAAGAGGGGAAGAAGATGGATCAAGAAAGGAGACAGGGCTATTAAGGTAAATTTATAATTTTTTAATTTTTTTATTAAGGCAAATTTAGTTTATGAGATGGCGTTGACACGTCATTAAAAAAAAATTCCAGATCAACACTTTTTAAAGTTATTTTTGCCATGTCATCAAAAAAAAATATAAAAAATGCCATGTAGCGGAGTTAACAGTCGAAATTAACAGAAGGACTAACGGTGTGCATTTCTTAGAGTTGAGAGATAAAAAAAGTGCAAAAAATTATTGAGGGACCAAAAATGTGCAACTCACTAAAGTTGAGGGACCAAATTTAGCATTTAACCCATGTTTTAAAGACTTATTTAAGTAGTATATTATATACTTGTATAATTAAATTTGTATATATATTTATTATAAAGCAAGTCTCAACCTGTATATGAAAATTGAAATCCTATGATATTAAATGTTAATATGTAGATTTAGAAACCCATTATATATTTTAATATAATTTATTTTAAAATTTAAATATCAATATTTAATAAAAATATTTTTTAAAATTTTAAATTAAATTTTAATTAAATAAAATGACGTAGTAGTTTAAAATTAAGACTCCAATTGTTTTTTAAAGTAAGAACTAATATGCATTTTTCATACTTAATATCTATATAATAATACCAACGACTCGTTGATCCGAGTAAAAAAAGTTCAATTTCACTTAAATAAGATCTCGAATTTGAATCTTATAAATAAAAAAATAGATTTTTGGAGAGCTTCCTCCCTAATAGAATCCGACATGACTCGATTTTAAATTAATCGAAACTCAATGTAGTTATCGAATAATGAGAAGTTAATATCGAAAAAATATCTATATAATAATAATTTTAAAATATAAAGATAATAAAATACAAAAACAAAAATTAGAGTTAAGTAGCGCTATACCAAACAAATGATACATATAAGTATATAACAATAACAACTTGTATAAATAATAAATTCTAAACCAAATATATTACACATAACAATAACATTTTATATTTAACTATTTTTCTTAAATGGAGTATAAAAATATATATCTATAAATTATCTGATGCCTATTAGATTAAAAACTAAACATAAATATTTAAATATATAAATAAATACTAAATTTAAAAAACTATACTTAAAATTTTTATATTAAATATTAAATTGAACTTATACTCAATTTATCGAATTACTGACCCCTCCAACCATTATAGAAACACACCGGCATATATAGTATGGGCCAGCTCTAGGCCTTCCGGCCTGATGGTCTTCCGTCCCTATTTCAATGAAAAAAATGATGAAAGAGTGCCATGCAATTTTAAACTACACAGCTTTAGGTTTTGATAATTACCTAAGTAAACGTGCAAAAAATAATATCAATTTTATAATTTTTTTATTTAAGAATATTAATTTTTTTTATTTTTAAATAAAAATGTCAACTTTTAATATTTTTTATTTGAGAATGTTAATTTTCAATTTTTTTTATTTAAAAATGTTAACTTTCAATATTTCAATTAAAAAATTCATTTATCACATTAATATCATTATCCAATTAATCCTTAAATAGAAAAAGTTTAAAGTTAATATTCTTAAATAAAAAAAGTTAAAGTTGACATCTTTAAATAGAAAATATTGAAAGTTAATATCTTTATTTAGAAATTGACAAAGTTAACATTTTTAAATAAAAAA